TCGAAACCGGACTGAAGATGACATGAAAAACGCGGCCGCAAAAACATTTTTGTAGCAATTGTTCGGAATGCCTGGGAGAGCCATAGGCCTACATGAGTTACCCAGATTGTGAGGGCAGATGCTTGTTGTGGAGGCACCGCCTTTGTCCGTGCGGACAGCCTGCCGGAGTCAGAGGAAGATGATGAGGAGGACGGAGAAGCATCACTGGGTTCCGGCAGATGTTGCAGAGTAAGTTCTGGAACAAGTTCCGGGGCTGATTCCGGTATACGCTGACATACTGACATGTTCATGTTGTATTGCTGACATGTCATCATGCTGGCATGTTGTCGTGCTGACATGTTGAGTCATGCCATCAGCCTACCATGGTTGTATTGTGTGCACTATCACGCCGAGATTGGAAGAATGCTGTCACTCGGTTATGCAACCTTGCGATCGTGATGTCAAGCTGACGTGTGATTCTTGCAGACATGCTGTGATGTTGTAGTGCCGGTATGGTGAATTGGTGTCATTTTGGAATGTTGTGTATGAAGCTGCCGCGCGGACGCTAAGCCTGCATTGCGATGCTTTGACGGCACATTGAAAAAGTTCACATGTTTCAATGGAGCATTGCCCGGCAAAGATGCAGCACTTGTTGGTCAGCTTGTTCTTGGTGGGTGTGCTTGTGTTGTCGATGGGCCTGAGCTGTAGCTTGAAAGGCTCCTGCAGCTGCATCTGAGCGGAAAGTCAGTTTCTCCCATGCTGGAGCCTTATGCCATGTTGTGCGATGTTGAGCAAAAGTCAGTGCAATCAGTTTAGGAAGCTGGTGTCGATTCAGAGACGGCCAGAGCCATCAGAAGAGGCCAGGTTACCAAATGATCAAAGTGGGTGCGTGGGTTTGACCTCCGCCAACGTGATACTCACTCCAATCGGGTTACCCAACCAAGAGGGCATACAACCTAATATATACAGGGCACATGCAGAAATACAGTCGCAAAGACCAGAATCGAGAGTGAACTGTGTGCGTGTGTGTGGAGTCAGAGGGTGCATTTCGTTTTTTCTAGGTTTTGCTGTTAACAAGAAAGGTGGACAGAGCTCTCTGATGCTGCTCTGTCCAATGAATGAAGCTATGCCGCATCAGAGAGGGAAGCGTCCGCTGGCCATGCATGTGTACCTAAACTAAAGAGCGGTTCTTTTGTCTCGCTCGTAAACTGCAACCAGAGTTCGTCGGCAGACTTGTCTGTTGGTTCTCTTTCCTTGTCAGGTGGTATCAAAGAGGCCTGAAAAAACGGTTGGTACCAAACCCCAACACCAAAACATCAAACGGTCAAAGTTTCAATTCCGAAGCTTCCGTTTCATGGCACAAGATGCAAGGCGAAACATCAAATTGCAAATGCTGCAAGTCCCAAATGCGTGTCTCCAACCGGCGAGAACACATGAACCGATCGATAATCGATAGTACAGGTAAGCCAGTCAAAGAATGGAAAGCCTCCTGCTCCAGTATAGGTAAGCAAGAGAAAACGATGAACATCTCCTGCTATAGTGAGCGAGACGAAGGAACCCCTCATAGCGATAGTGTTTAAGGTTTCCTTGTGGCACGGGGCTTCAGATTGTACGCGTTGTATCTCGAGTGTGTGTCTCGCTGGGGCTGAAGTCGTTGTGTGCTGCAGCAGCAGCAGCAGCAGCAGCAGTAGTTTGTAGCGGGCAGCAGGGCAAACGTTGCATTAAGACTTGACGACTTGGATTGACCGGAGCAGGCCTCTGAGCCAGAAGGAGCGGACAAGAGGAGCCAGGGTTTACGCTGCAGGGGGTGCAGCCTTAACTTGAGATCAAGTTCTCGTGTAGCCCTCAGTTTAGTGCACATGGTGCTCGCGCAAAACGAGCAACGTCCCCCAGGTTTCGCTATAATGAGGTTCGGCTTGTCCGGCTTGTCCCTTCCGTTTTCCTTTTCCTTTTCCTGTCCCTTCTGCCTTCTTGTCCTGTCATTTCATCTCTGTTTTCTCTTTCTTGTGCGTGCACATGCGTCTTGGCCGTGCCTCCACAGGTACATTGAAACTAGGTTTTAGGTGGCCCAGGTCGTTCTTTTAATCAGGTTTGGTTCATCGGTTGTCCCAGTCATTTGGTTTGATCCCTATCGCCTCCACACACATTCGGGTCAAATGAAACCATGCGTCAGAGAGGGAAGCGTCCACTGGTGTGCACCTGCATGTCTACACCAAAGAGCTATATGTTGGTCTCGCTCGTAAGCCGCAACCAGATTTCGTCGGCAGACTTGTTTGTTGGTTCTCTTTTCTTATCGCTGCTGTACGAGCTACGAGCGGCTCCTTCGTCTCGCTCACTATCACAGGAGGCTTTTCATTTTTACTCTTGCTTACCTCTACTGAAGCAGGCTTTCCATTCGCTGACTGGTTTACCTATAATTACCATTGAGCGTTTCATTTTGCCGCTTGGAGTTTGCAGCATTTATGCTTCGCCTTGCATCTTGTGCCATGAAACGCTGGACTTGAAACTGTGCCCTTTGGACTTGCAGCTTTGTACTTTGCATCTTGTACCACGGAAGCTTCGGAATAGAAACTTTGACCGTTGGATGTTTTGGTGTTGGGGTTTGGTACCAACCGTTTTTTCAGGCCTCTTTGATACCACTTGTTCCCTTAGGCGTGTTTCATACCAAGGTTTCCTCGTGGCATGGGGCTTTAAGATCGTACGCATCATGTTTCGAGTGTGTGTGTGTTTGCCCAATGATTGTGAAAACATGTAGCTGTCGGGTTTGGCCGGGCTTGTGTGCGCGCGCACCTCAGTCACGTGGATTCAGTTCTTCGCAGTTCTAGTTTAGATAGTTTGCAGGCACTGGCTTTGTGGCTACAGAGAACCTGCCAGAGTCAGAGGATGAAGAAGACGAGGCGGCAGGAAAACAGCGGATCAGTGTAGAATTTGCATGGAGTAATGAGTACAAACAGGTAGGAACTGAGGTCACTGATTTTCAAAGTGTGGATAACGGATCAGAGAACCTCGAAGTGTATATATAATATTAGTGCGCACCGCTTTTGGATTGGGCCTAGCTCGCTTGGAGCTTGTAAGTTGGGTGTGCTTGTGTTGTCGATGGGCCTGAGCTGTAGCTTGAAAGGCTCCTGCAGCTGCATCTGAGCGGAAAGTCAGTTTCTCCCATGCTGGAGCCTTATGCCATGTTGT